AGCACGGAGGCGGAAAAGGATCTTGGAGTCGTCATTGACTCCAAGATGAACATGGATCGGCAGTGTGGAGAGGCAGTTAGGAAGGCCAACCGTACCTTGTCATGCATCCACAGATGCATCTCGAGCAGGTCCAGAGAGGACAGCAGGGCAGGCCCTACGAGGAGAGGTGACGGGACCTGAACTTGTTCAGCCTCCACAAGAGAAGGCTGAGGGGGGATCTTGTGGCCTGTTACAAGCTGGTCAGGGGGGGATCAGAAGGCATTGGGGGAGTCACTGTTCCCCTGAGCACAGCCAGGAGTGACCAGGAACAATGGTCACAAGCTAGCAGAGGGTAGGTTTAGGTTAGACATCAGAAGGCGCTGTTTCACGGTCAGGGCGGCTAGGGTCTGGAACCAATTTCCAAGTGAGGTGGTGCAGGCTCCTACCCTGGGGGTTTTTAAGAAGAGGTTAGATGAACACCTTGCTGGGGGTTGTTTAACCCCAGTACTCTTTCCTGCCATGGCAGGGGCTCGGACTAGATGATCTTCTCTGGTCCCTTCCGTCCCTAGAAACTATGAAACTATTGCTTTTAATATGTTGTAGACATTTCAGAAAATAAAATTCTAGGAGAGAAGGAAAACATAGACTTAAATCCTTGGTAATGTGAAGAGAGCTTTGACAATGAAGAGTGCAGAACATTAGCTTTCATTGGTGGGTCTTAAGGAAGGATGCCAGTGATTTTTGTCCTGAAGTTTACTTATATAAGCTTTGATATAGGTTTGAAAATTAAAATGAAACTTAACTCTATGGGAAATAACCTGCATGCGTGTCCAAGCTTCTGTGGACACTTCAGCCTGGACTTCGAAGTAAACCTTGAATGCTATGGCAGCTAAAATCATCCAGAAGAAAAGCTGTCAAGAATATTACGCTTCCTCCATCTGATTCCAGCATCAAAACCCTGCTTTTCACATGTAGAAGAAATATCAGCCCTTCTACTTTTTCCTCGGGGCCATAGGTCCAAATGGAATGAGTAACTTCCTGGTTTCACTTTCGTGCAGGTAGTTGAATGTCTATGGAGTGGTTTTGTTTGTAGTGTTAGGGCTCACAGGATCGTTGCTCCGGTATATCCTGGGCTAACCTTTTTGGCAGGTGCACCACAAAATAAGCCTTGTGCCCTCATTGAGTGTCACCATGATCTCCTTCCCCTTCCTGGTCCACTTATCTGCTTTCTGCATCCCACCCAATCTGCTGCTCTGGTCTCCTAAAGTCATAGATTGCAAGGGGCTGGAAGGGAGCACACAAGATCATCTGGTCCAGCCCCCTGCACTAGGCAGGAAAGACAGCTGGGGTCAGGTGACCCCAGCAAGGTGACTGTCCAGTCTCCTCTTGAAGATTTCCAGGGTAGGTGATTGCGTCTCTGCTGTATACTCCCTGCCTGATCCACTTGTCTGCTTTCTTCTCCTTGCCCTATCTACCATTGTATTCCTTGCCCCCCTCTGTTTATCCACCAGATTGAAATGATGATCGTTGCATACATTCTCCTCATGGTTTTATAGAGCATGAAAACCATTTATGTAATAGTTTTAAGAAAGTAGAATAGCAGAAATGTATTTTATTCTTATGGATTTTAATGGCAGGTACAGACTTTTTCCCCTTTCCCCCTTCATTTGTAGATTTTATTTGTGGACTTACAATAATGAAATGCCAGTGTTGCCAGGCTGTGATATCTAAAATGCAGAAATTGGACACATCAGCTGTTGGTTCTCAGGAACAATAGAGTAAATTTCTAACAAAGTGTTTGTTCTGTAGATCAGTGTGTGTGTGGTGAAGGAATATAGCTCTTTAAAGCAGGTGGGTTTTTTGGATAGTACCCTGCTCCTTTCATGTGTAAAGTGGTGTGCTGGTACTTTTGATAATGGGAGCATACCTATTTTCCCTTCTGTTTGCTCAACTCTTTTTATTCATAGATTGTATTCTTTATTAAGTAAATCTTGCTGTACTTCATTATAGTCAAGCTTCTTGGATTCTTTTTTGGTTAATGCAAAATAGTTCCCAAATCTATTGCAGTGGTCCCATAAATTGTGTAATTTCTTGAGGCATATAGCTTCTTAGTGGCTGTTGACATTATCAAAGCAACAACTATTTAGCTGAAAAAAATGTTTACAGGTTCTTTAGGGTGCCACTTGGATGGATCACCTCATGTTTGCCATCAGATATCTTTGTGAACTGTCTGACTGCTTAATTCCTCCCACTGCTGTCTCTCATTTGTCCTTCAGTTCCACTGCACATTGGCTTGTTGTGCTAACCTCTGGTCTGCTGTTGGTTAAAGGACGATGGTAAAGCGGTAACATTGTGACGTATGTTTATAACTATTTTTCTTTTAATTTTTAACTTAAATGTTCTGTCACAATAGTTCATTTCCCTGAAAGGGGGCATCAGTTAGTGCTTTTCTGCTGTGCTAATAAGTGCTTGTGACCTGTGATCCCTCACTGCTCTGCGAATATCACACAATGACACGTGTACTTTGGATGCCAAGAGACCAACTGGAAATGAAAGCGCTGCTAGTCAGTCCATTGGAATTTGCTTAAAATGGAGGCGTGCAACAGAGAGACTAATTTATTCTCTGCTAATTAAAAGTAAAAGCATTTAGTTGTATAAACAACCATCTGGTGAACAAAGAATAGACTCTTTAGTGTTCCTGTTCCTTTTTTTACTTCCTTATTTATTTATTTATTTTGCCTCCCTTTCTTGGTCTTTAGAAATAAAGCTAATTTCAATTCTTTAACCATATCCAACCAAAGGTACGGAAGCTAGGTAGAATTCGCCTAACTTCTCCTCTGTATCCTGTTAACGTTAATCTTAGTTTGAAAATACCTGTATTATACAAAGGTTGCATTTCAGATGTGTCATTGAGCCCAGTTATAAAATAATTTACAGAGCAATAAAGTTCTAAATACTGTTTTGGCCCAAACGTAACACCTTTTTCAGTTTTAAGGATCTGTTCTTTAGGATCATTCCAATTTCAGATTGCAAGATCCATAATTTTCACATTGGATGCTATAAAACATTGTCCTTTTTCCAACGTTTTACTTGCTTCAAAAATCTTAATTTCATTTTGTATTTTTTCATCCCCATCCTACAGTAAAAAATAACTAAGATTGGGGAAATATTTTGTTAGCCATTTTTTTGTCTTTCCCAAACAGTTTTTAATAAACAGGTTAGGGAAAAGCATAGTTTCATAGGCATCTCTATGCTTGTAGCTTTTCTGATTTTTGCAAAATTTCTAAGCTATTGAACTGTAACATCTTATTATCTGCTTGGTATTTCTGTGGCTCAGTTCTTTCACTGTAATTGAATTTACTTCATACTGTACTGGGGGGAGGGAAGGACTGGGAGGCATTTTCTCAATCCTGGCAGAATATTCTTTAGTTTAATATAACTTATTTTATAGAGATCTGACATAGCAGTAAAAAAAAAAAAAAAAGTAGTAGTAATCTGTGTTTATACAGCCAGGCGACGTGTTAATAGAATGTATTGTGAGACGAACTGAAAGTTCCACTTTCAGAATTTTAGTTTCAGGTTTAGGATTTTATTCAGATTTTTCTCCTTCTGCACCCCCAATGTCTGACTGTACTGCTCCTGTGGTGGGAAGACATTTTACTTATTTTAGGTATTCATCATTTTCTGAATTAATAACACATTTCAGGAGCCTTTGGTTTGTACATCACTCTGGTTTTGTTGTATTTTTTTAGTTAAAACAGAGTACTGTTTAGTAACTACTTTGGTATTAACAGTTCTATTTAAATCTCATGTGGTAATAGTCTCTTTTAAATGTTGACTTGTCC